ATTGCATTTCAAAATTTTCCAGTGTAAATTTTTTTATACTACAACCTCACCTCACTTTTGCAGATGACGAACAGTTATTCAGCTCAAACACTGAATTTAGAAACATGTTTAAGAAAGAAAAGGAAGATCATTTGGTTTATTCCCTCACAGTCAAATGTGGTGTTTTGGATCCATGTGGTCCAGTGATTGAAGAGCGCTTTAACAGCAAATGTTGAGATGTGAAGAGCCAGAGAGGAAATGCTTCTCGTCACCCAACCACTCATTAGCAACAAGTGCGGCACAAAGTGGTTCTTTAACACCGTACTTGCAGTGCATTTGGTCTGCGGTGTGTGTGTGTGTGTGTGAGACCATCAGACTAGATCCCACACTGCTCCACTTCATTGTTAATGGGAGAATATTCGATAAGTGACACCACTCAGCCGGAGCATCGTGTAAATACACATCCATTCCCTTGCTGTTTCTATTCCGAGATCGCCTGCTTTCTTGGAAAGCTAAATGGAGCATTAGCAGATGGTTTGTGTATTTTTTTTGTTCCCCACGGTGTGAATATTTCCTTTCTGTGTAACCAGACACCCGGAAAGGAGAAGCAGAGAAGCTGATGGCATAGTTGGGTTTTAATGTCTAAAAGAGGCTCACATGAACGAGTGCATCTGAGTTCATGAGAGCAAACATCACTCCTGTGTCTCGTATCCGTCGGTTAGTGAAATGCGTCTTTCTAAGAGGTTAGAACTATATTTCTAGCACAAAACACATTTTATAAATATGTGAAAGGAATAGAAATTGCTCCCTGGTTAATAAAGCTTAGCTTTATTTTGTCTAATAACTGTTATGTAATGTAGCCCTAATGCTAACCTAGCTATCTTGCTTGTTAGTTAGCAGTGAGCCTGCGGCTACACAATACAACACACTGTCAAGGTATCATATGCTAGCTACTGACAACTGATAAGGCATTCAGTTACGTTACATTTTGTTTTGTTGTTGTTGTTGTCATCGTCGTCGTCATCGTTGTTGTTGTTGTTCTTCTTCTTCCTCCTGGCAACTGCACTTCTAACATGTTTTAATCCAATATGTCCTCTATGTCTCCTCAACACATGTCCAAACCATTTTCCAACTCCAGTACCTCTTTATGGAGAGTTGGTTCCACTAAGCTACCACTGGGGGCACTGGTCTGCCCACTGTTCACTTTGGTGATGGGTTAAAAGCAGAGGTCACATTTGGTTCACTTTCCTTTCCTTTATGTGGTGAGAACTCATCCCTGATCTTTTCCCAACTCATACCTTGAACCCATCTGTCAGTCTGACTGCACTGTTTTCTTTCACGATGTGTCACTGTGGCGTTCCTGTCTACTGAAAAAAAATAATAATTCCTTCATCATGAATTACAAAGAAAAAGCAAGCAGCAGTAAAGTGCTGCGGGTCCCTTTTTTTTTTTTTTTTTTTTTTTTTTACATAAAATTGTCAAAACGTGAATCATGATGGACATTCAAGTACCGCGGGGAAGGCTTTGAAGGCCGAAAAGAAAGAAGTCTTCAAGAGAAAGGGGAGGGAAAAAACTGTCCGCCCTCACTTTCCCTCCCTTTCCCACTTTCTTTGTGTCTCTGTGAACTTGCTTTCCTTGGAAGAGACACAAAGAATCCCAGAGGAGAAAGGCTCCGGAATCAGCGCGACCGCCACACACAGATCCTTTCACTCCTGATTCCAGCTTCAGGAGCCACAAACCCAGCGACCGCTTTCTCCTCTCTCTCTGTGTGTGTGTGTGTGTGCTGTCTTCCAGATTGAATAGAATAGGAATGTGGGCGTCAAATTAAGTAGAATTCCCATTGGTTCTGGGAAATATACAGCACACGTGGATAAATACGTTCTCTACTGTCACGTGCGAATAATAAAAAAAACATATTTTAGCCTGCCCTCAGGTTTTTGAAGTGGAAAAGGTTTTACAACATTCACGCTAGGTTTTAGATAGCGAAAATTTTAGGATTCCTCTTATGGATATTTGATTTAGTTAGATTTTAGCTAACACATGGCTAATGTGGTTGGTCATACCTAACATGCAGCTAATGCCTTTATGTCAAGGCCATGGTTTTGGGAGGTAGCGTACGGTAAGCTAGCGAGCTAGCTCTTTAACTTTGTGCCATGCCAGTCCATATCAGTAAATTAACAGAAAAGTTTGTTTAAAAAAATACTTTTGTGGTATTTTTAGTCGAATAAACATGATATTAGCTAATAGTGGTTTACAACATTTTTGTCTAAAAACGTGTGATTTTCTGCCACGTGTGTCAACACCGTCCAGGCTCCACTCCAGTGAGTTTGAACTTTCGTAAAGACTTCCTACTTAACTTCCTTGGAGGTGACCCCCACTCTTTCAATGCCCTCTATAATGACCCAGCATGGGAACGCAAGGGTAGAAGGAAGATAGGGAGGAGGAGAGGGAGGAGGACCACGAGGCAACATTCCTCGGCTTGGAAGTATAAGGACATGGGAAGGTAAAGACATGTGGGAGGAGGTGCAGAGGGAGAAGGTGAGATTATGGATGAGAATAGGAGAAGAAAAGGCTACTGGGCGGGGAGGTGTAGTGGGAGGGGGGGAGGCTGAGGTGGCCGGACTCTCTCTCGTTTCTCTTCTCATGATCTGTCCAAACTTAAGTCCGCACTGAGTCTTCTTCGCACACAGTGCTGCCCTCAAACAGCCGTCACATCCCATTACTGCTGACGCACGGCTCCTAAAGAGAAGTGAAGGGGCATGATGAAATTGGGGTCAGAGTGAATTTGAAGACAAGCGATGAGGACCATTAAGGTGATGGGGTGCCTTGTTGAGCACAGACCTTTGTCTCTGCACATCAGAGTGGCGTCTCCAATTTGTGACCATAAAAAAAAAAGATGTTACCGAGGCCATAAAAAACCTCTTTTCAGATGCACCTTTGATTACTGAAATGGTGGTGGTAGTGGCAAAGGGAGGGTGGGGGTGGGGGTATGTGACGAGGGGTAAAAAAGAAACACTGTTGGACGTCATTGTGAACTGACCTAAAGGTTACGCATTTAGCGGTGATGTCGATATTATCGGCCAACCGATATTATCCGCCGATATTAGCTTCGTTATGTAATATCGTTGAGAATCATTATCGGTTTTTCCTTGAATAATGAAAACCCGATAACACAATGTCTGGGTTTCGCCCAGATGATGTGACCTAAAAATACGGCACATCACATATTGGATATCGGCAAAAAGTCAATATCGTAAAAAACAAAACAAATACAGCCTTCTGGATAAACGTGTTGTGAAGTGATGGAAGATTTGTGCTTTTTTTTTCTTTTTGTACATAGTGTTTTTTTTTTACTTGTGTGCACTTCCTCTAAGTCACCACATGACGTCAGTGACTCTGGTTAGATGGACAGGTATCTGTGGCAACTTTATCAAACTTCCCCCAGTCTGGACCTCTGTAAAACATAGTAAACTGTTGTCACAAATTGCAGACTACGTCAGAGAGTTATCCTGAAGGCGGGGGGGACGGGGGGGGGGCAGCCGGGGGGCTCCCATGTGGTCTTCAAACACCAACATGTGCCTAAAGTAGGCGTCTTGGTACTGTGGGGCCTCACTGTGCACGTGAACTAAACCATGTGCCTCTTGATCTTAAACTCCCGTTCCTCCTCCTCCTCCTCCTCCTCCTCCTCCCGCTCGTCATTCTCAACTATATAGAAAGACCAACTCACGAAATACCACAAAGAATGTCATTCTGATGTCATTTGTGCCAAAAAGACATCAGACATGGCTGAAACGGTGAAATGTCTCGCTGGCAGTCGTCCACTTTTGGCTAACCTTTAGCTTATCTGTGGATATCTGTCAAATATTGTCGCGGCCTTTGCTTTCATTTTAGTTTAAACTGTATCAGTGGCCATTGTATACTTGTATGTATGTACGTTTATCTACTTCCGTTATGTACAGTTCTAACTACATTTTACCTTTATTTACATATATAAGGCTTTTTTTCGGTAGCATTACATAATTCAATTCCCAGAGGAAACAGATCTGTTGGTAACACAACAACTTCTCCGGTGTTGGATCAATAAAGTACAAATATTATTATTATTATTGTTGTTGTTGTTCGTATTATTATTATTATGCAATCAATCACCTTTTTTGTCCATCTTCAACACTATGTGTTATGCCTAGCTTCACGGCGTCACATGACCTTCCGAACCAGATAACCAAGTCACGTCCTGATGTACTGTCACATGACAGCTATTTTAATGGGCGTGCAGTAAATGTTACAGACCTGTTGGTCCGTCCCTGCAGATACCATCACCACTGGCATAAGATGTGAATTCTTTTAACATGTGATTTTTCTTTTCCCGTGCAATGACCTACACATTTATGCATGGGTTTATTTATACATGTCACACATGCACGGCCGAGACAGAGTGACCATACATGCGTGCGTCGCTAATGTGTGCACGTACGTATACAGACGGCGCTCCTTCCACTGCAGTGCTCTGAGTCTGTGTTGCATGACAGGCGCTGAGAGAAGCTGAGTGTATTTTTAGTTTTTTGGGGAGATGGACACAGTGGGAGTTCACACTGCCGGGTCTGGCCCGTGGCCAAAATCTCCTCTGTTACCAAGGAAACGTTCTGCTGCTGCCATACTACTGCTGAAGCCTGGCACGAGAGCGGAGCATCCCATCATTTAAATAGTTCTGGCTGCTCACGTCAACGCTTTCACATATTATGTAGTTGGACGGAGAAATAATCCACCACTATTGTGGGTCGAGGTAATAAATGTAGGAAATATGTGAAGTTTTACGAAGGATGCTCTCTCCCGTTCAGCAAAAAACAGAAACAGAAAACAGAAAATTAAATATTTGGCATCACAACACATAGGTTTAGTTAGTAGTTATTTGCTAAATACATTTGATTTTATTATTTTATAGTTGAAATCACTGGTGAGTTAGAAAGCTTCTCTATTCAGAGATGAAGATGAAGTTATGTCTAATCAACCAAGGTGTTTTTTTTTTGGGTTTTTTCACGTTCCCCTTAAAAGGACAGCACTGCCAGTAAACTGTGCGTGTGTGTCTGCTGAAGGAGGTCAGGCTGTGGTAAGATTTCAGTGAATGAAGCAATTCTTAGAAAGCCAAATACAGCTGAAGGAAGGAGGCTGGAGACAGGCCGTGACCACGCCCCTCTCTGGATGGAGGTGATAAGGAGGCAGCTGCTGAGTTCCGCTTCTCTTTCCGCTCACCAGTGGGGTTTTTTTTTACTACGATGAAAAATATTGTCGATAAATGTGTGTTATTTACGTCTCTGGCCTTTTGTTTGTGCATCAGTTAGCTATACAAACGCCACAGTTCTGTGCAGAAGAGGTACAAGATCCCTGCTCATGCAGGCGACTAACGGAAGAGAGCGCTTTCATTGCATTAGAGCGCCCTCTGTCGCTAGATTTTAGCTTACTTCTAACTTTTTGCGTATTTAGCACTAGCAAAAATAATAAAAATAAAAAATAAAATAAAATATATAGATCAAATATATAAAATAAAAAAATAACAATAAAAACACATATTTTACATCGGTTTTTTTAAATTAGTTTTAGCAAAATTCCATAATTTGACTATTATTTTTTTTATTTACTATTTGCTACATCACAACATTTTGATTTAATTTTGACTCAATTCATAAGTTAAAAAGAAAAACAGTGTTTTTTTGCCTTAATGTTTATTTTTATATTATATATATTATATAATATAATTATGATATTTCAGATAATTTTAGCTAGACTGTACAATTTTGTGATTATTTTAAAAACAATATTTTTTTATGTTTCTATGTATCTGACCTGTATTTTACTACACTACAATCAGAGACCAAACAAACTGAGACCAAGAGCTGAAATACACTTTCTTCTGAAACTGAAAGACCTGTGAGTCTATATTCACATCATCTTTCTATAAAGGACCTCTTGTATGTACACTTTACTTGAAAAGTGAAGTTAAAAAGAGCAGAAGTAAAAAAAAAAGATAAAGTTTACAGGGAAAACATGTTTTCCGGAAAATGGTGACGTTCCTCTTTCTACAGAAGTGAAGCCCGGTTAACTTTCTCTGAAAAAACACACTTCACTTCCCGTTTTGTGACCTTTAATAAACCACAAATAAAAAAAAAATTTAAGAAGTGGTTTTAAAAACAATGCTTTGTTCGCAACGTCGCACGTCACACATTATTTTGGAAACTTTTTTTTTCACGGAGCAAAACTGAATGTTGTCACTATGGAGGAAAAAAACGTTTCCAATTAGCCCAACATACTATGCAAACTATGTAGGTTACATTTGCTGGACACGAAACCTTGCAGAATGCAAATAAATAAATAAATAATAATAATAAAAAAAACAATCACCTGAATGTGTTTCTTACCTTTAGCCGTCATGGCAGAAAGCAGGCAGAACCCAGTTGCGGTACTGTAGAGGCTCAGGTGACACCAATGAGACTGATGACGGACACACAGGTGAGGGTGGTCACAGACACGGCAGGAACAGGGAACACACACAGACTTCACAGTGTTCTTGAATTCTTGAAATAAATAAATAATAAATTCCTTTATTCTAATTCAATAATAAAGTTCGGCCAAATTAGGCCAAGGGAGTTCGCGGCCAATCGTGTGCTGAGCTCTGATTGGTCTGCTTACGGTGCATTGGCTCCCAACTCATTATTTGATTCGCTTTGATAAAAAAGGAACGAGATGTTTCACTAAGTGTAATGGAGTAAAAAGTACAATTTTTCTCACCAAAAAGAAAAAAAAAAAAAAGACTTGAGTAAAGCACAGATACACTTCGCAGTTAGTTGCAGGGTGAGGTCTGTGTCGCCAGGTTCGATGGTGACGTCTGCAGACTTTCCAGTCAGGATAGAGGTTATCGGAGCTGCAGCGAGAGTCTGCAAAGTCTGACTCTGAAATCGAAGTAACTGGAATTGCATACAGCGATAGCAAATAGAAAACTGAGACTGTAAGTTTTCTGTCTCTGTATTACTTTAGTAATACGTTTTAGTAATTTAATTTAAAAAGATGAAGAGGTATTAGAAAACCAGGAAGTACTAGAATACAAAACCACGTTACATAAATACAAACACCATTCAAGGAAAGGAGGGAGAAAGATGTTGTTAAATGGTTTTCTTTCTGTAGTTACCCCTTCCGTCACTAGATGACACTGTTGTTCCTATATACATTCATATGAATATGGTTGTTGTTACATTATATGACATTCATTCTATTAGAAATAGGTAAAAAAAAACGCTTTATTATCGTGATAATAATAATATTATCGGGATTGGGAATTCACTAATTACTGAAACAATAATTAATCGCGGATCAATCGCTTTTTTATTTTTAGGTCCGTAACTCTCTGGTTAGATTACACATATTACAGGCAGATGAGGTTGGTTTTCCATTTTAGTCACATTGATGTTTAGACTTGCAGGGAAAGGTTTTAAATGTGGCGTTTTCAATGGAATACTGGTGTAAAACGCACTTTATATCAGTTGTTTTTGATCACATTTACTTTTAAAATAAAAGTCGACAGTACACTACGTCTGAATTAGTTATTGAATTTTGCACATCATCAAAGATAATGTGTTCATTTTAACTTTTTATTGGGCAGAGTGTTGTGTTAACAGCAGGCTGCACCTTGGAGGAGCCAAGTATGTGGTTCCTGCGGGGTTCGAACCCAGGACCTTCTTCGTGTAAGGCAGATTTATAACCAAGTGTGATAACAGCTATGTTACACTATGGAGAGACTCAAATTCAACTTGATTGCGTTATAACTGATAGCTACAGTGAGAAAGGGCGCACTGCTGGGTAGATTCAAACCAGCAACCTCTCGTTTAACAGCCAGATGAAATGACCGATTGCGCCACAGAGACTGGAAATAAAACCTGATAAGTATGACATTATTATATTAATATATATTATATATATAATATAAATTATATTATATTATATTATATTATATTATATTATATTATATTATAAATGCCAACTTCCTGCAGCAGAAGAATGTGGCAGTAAAGCTGTCATCATGAATCCAGTCACAGCTCTGTAGGTTTTTACAGCCACAGCTCATAAAGTGGCCACATCTGACTGTTAATCCTGACAACTCACTGTACAGACTGCGCTGGTACAACTTCATCTGCCACAGTGGGGGAAAAAAAGAGACGAAAAATGTATTTTGTGAGCTCTCTTACATACTGTTTTTAGAAAAATATTCACCAAAATAATTACTCGACATTTACAAAATCGCATCGTTGCAGGGAAATTGGAT